GGAAATTTTTTCTACTGAGTGCACTGTGGATAAGTGTGGATCTCACAAGGTGCAGACATTTCAAAATTTTCTACTTAGTTTGATGCTTTCACTGGAGACAATATTTCAAGAAAAAATAATTTAATTGATTGATTAAAAAAAGGATGTAAAAACATCATGACAAACGATAAATGGCATGTCCTCAAGCTAGTGCTTTCTTTTTTTTCCCCTTTTAATTTACAGCTTCTCTATTCAGTTTTTTTTTTTTTGAAGGGCTTGGAAATCATATCTTCTTTATTTATTTATTTTTTTATTATGTTCAGTTATATCTATTTGGATTTTTAAATGAAAGGTGAAAGAAAAGAAAAACTGGAAGAGTCCTTGTTTGACTCAACTTTCTCATACACCCACACCCATCTCAAGATATACTGCATCTGAAATCTATACTAACAACATATTTTGCAGAAGATTCTGCTACTTCTATGGGCTACTAATCATTAAAGAATTGCATTTCATTATTTATTGCTTTGGTTTTAAAATCTTTACAGTTTACGTCTCATATTTATTTCTGTTATATACACAACCTTTTACCTCACCTTCTTATTCTTTTCGCCCTTTCTCCCTCCCTTCCTTCTTCAGTTATTTCCTGACTTCCTGGTTTGTGCCAAGCAGGAAAGCAGGGCACTTTAGAGGTAGAGTGACTCTCTGCACTCTGTGCCTTCAAGGAGCTGTCTGGTCAGGGATATAGATGTGGGAGAAAAGAGAGGGCAAAGCCGAAAGTACAGGTCAAACAAGTACAGGGTGTAATACGTGGCCAGGAAGAGTGAGCAGCAAACCCAGTCTAGGGGGTAGGCAGTTACCACAAAAGTGGTAATATTTGAACTGAATCTCAGCACATGAGGCGGGCAGGAGCTCCTGGAAGTCAGCCAGGACCAGATATGTTGGACATAGGAAAGAAGCGCTTGTTCAAGAGCACGGAGATTCACCAGTCACTGAAACTGCAAGAGAATGAATGTTCTGGGAGTGAGCATTTCTCAGACTGTGTCATCCAGAATACCGTGCCCAGGTGATACATTTGTGTTATTACAAAGTGGAGTTTTTATCAGATGAGCTTTGGAAAATAGATTGCATTACCATTTTAGTTTTCTCTAGGCTTCCTGGAACCTGTAACAGGCGCATATGCATTGCACATGTTGTAGAAGAGTGAAGGAGAAAGGGAAATATACAAAGAAAGTAAAATTCATCAATAATCCCACACTCTGAGAGAACCACTGTTAGTGTTTTCATATAGTTCCTTCTGAGTTTTCCTTTCCTCTATATTTTTCCCATATATGCCTCTTGCTCTTCCCTGAATCAGTGCACAATTGCCTCCCTGTCTTCATTTGTACATTCAACGTAACATGTTTTACTGAGTTCCTATCACATGTGAAATAGAGTGCTGGATACTAACAATATAAAGTATATGTTTTCTTCCCTTAAAGAAGCTCCTTGCTAACATTCATCTTCGTATGTCTTTTTTTATATAAAAACTTGATCCTACTGTTTGGATTGCTCAGTAATATCTTTTACTCATTTAATCATAGTGGTTATAGCTATTCATACTATTCACTAAGAATTAGACTGGTGATAGAGACTACTTATTAGTGTCACAAGAAGAGAAAATGATGAATTCTACTAAGCAATCTACCGATAGCCATGAAAAGAAATAGGCAGTTATGAGAGACATTTTAATGAGGAACCAATGCAGCTGATTGGAAGTGGTGGGCAAGAGGAGATGGTAAAACAAAGAAAACTCTATGGCTTTCAGTTAGCAGATGCTGTGTGTTGATAATTAACTACCAAACTAAGTCAAGAAAAAATAGCACTTAGGTTTGGGAATTTGAAAGATTAGAATTTAGCTGCAATCGTAGACTGAAAGAGCCTCGGGATAAAGTTAGAATTTGTATTATCAACATATAGGAGAGAGAAATCGGTGAGAAAAAAAAAAAATGAGAGCTCCTAACAGGGAAATTTATAGTAATATTTAAGAGAGTTGCCTGCAGAATTCTAGAGAATGGAAAATTTAAGGTGGAGAGAGAGGGAGAAGCTACCAAATCTTTGAGAAGTTATAAGGTCTTCTTCACCAAGAAAGATGCAAAGAAAGATTAACTCTGATTCCAAGATTTTAAAAGCCTCATGGAAGAGATGGTAAATAAACTATATTTTAGTTGGGCTTTGCTGTTTAGCAAAAACTGGGCTAATTTTTTTTAAATCTATTTTTATTTTAATCTAGATTAAAACTGAGGCTTACACTTCTGTAATTTCGATTATGTAGGGAGGAAAGTTTACCTAAATAAATAACACAAATAAACATTTAAAGGGAGTTGTTTGAACTACGTAGTATGATAAACTCAAAAAATTTATTTAGCTAGTCCACCATCTTTTTTTTATTAGAATTGCCTAAAGTATTAAGGTCTTTGAATACTCATCTTATTAAGTCAGGAAATAAACACTTTCATTTAGCACCATGTCTGTCCTTCACGTTCTACTATTTGTTTTTATGGTCAGAACATTAATAGCCTTGGACCTCATAAAGTACAAATTCTTAGTTTCAAAAATGAAGAAATTAAAGCTCAGAGTGACTAAAGTTGGCCAAGGTCATGTGGCTTGTTTTTGGAAGGGATGAGGAAGAAAGATTTCAAATAATAACATTCCATTAAATAAATAATCTTTTAAGTTATCATTTATTTTCATTTCTTTCACAAAGATTTGTCTGAATTTGGATATATATTTGGCCTGGGGTATTTTATAAGCAATTTTGACATACATATGAAATATTCTAATATAGATAGAAAGGTATTTAAGATAAATAAAGATACATAAGATATAAAATGGATCAGATAATTTGCAAAGAATGTGTCATTTACCCCTTCACATTTCTACCTTGGCACTTTTTTATTGTCCCTAATAGAGTGACCAAGAGATAGGCAGGGAAGATTGCTCCAGTTTGTCCCTGGGAGCACAGCAGTAATGATCAGGAGGAGGGAGGTCCAGTGCTAACTCAAGTTATTCATTCCAGACACCGTAGTTTACTGGAGATTGCTGCAGGGAGCATGTCGCAACATTGGCCACCTGCTATAAATTAGCCTCAATTTGAATTTTGTTCAAATCAAAGCATTTGTCCTCTCTTATTCTTAGTGTTCTCACTTGTTAAATTTTAATATGAAATATTTGATCCTTAGGATTATCAAGGGAATGAAAATGTAAAACCTCTAAGTATGCCTGGCACGTAGTAGGGGCATAATTGATGTTAAATGCAGAGGTTACTGCTGTTGTTCTTTATACTTTCTCATGGAGGGTGAGTCAGTATTACAGCTTCTTCCCCATCCTGCCGCTTAGAATTGTATCATTCCCTTGTGGTTCATTTCAAAAAGAACAAATTATTTGACTAAATCATTTACTTTTTTATATTTACAGAAGCTAATAATTTAATCTGATTAGTTATGTAGATTTTTGAAATGTAACCATTTTAAAAGATATATTTTAATGTCAAATTCTGGAATGTATGTATCTACTTCAAAAAGGTGGTGGTTAGTGTTTCATAATTTCTAATTTCTAAGATGTATGCATTACTTAACTAGTTTTTTAAAATAAGTAAATGAAGGAATTAAATGAAAAAATAGACATGAAGATAATTAAATAGCAAGATAATCAACTCTCCTGTCATTTTGGACTTGAATATATTTTTCTCTATGAGTAATAAGAGCAATAAGATTTCAACATGTGTTGAAAAATAATTTAAAAATTATGTTTGCTTTTGTTCCTGGGCACTGGAACACAGTAATGCTAGAAGTAAGAGTAAAATTGTGCCTTTTATCCATATATGCAGTACCACCTCCAAGCAGAGCACCTGACATTTATCAGAATAGAATTATTCAAGTATTTCTGGTTATTCTTATTCTGGCGTTCTAAGTTAGCCATACTTTTTTGATAGATGTTTTATTGCACAAATACAATGGATTTCATGTACATTTGTATAAGAAATAAAAGTCTTCAATGGGGACAGGTGATACCCTTTGTAATAAAATACTTCGGGTACTACTTGCCTCTTAGTGGTTCATGCTTTTCACTAAACCCTAACATAAATATACTCTAGTTCAGTAAAGTAATTTCCATTAAAATGAACCTCTCATAAATATCTTCAGTAAAATCGGAAATTAGCTTTACCTGAAAAAATTACAATTCTTACATCGTTGAAATATGTTTTGGAAAGTTCACCTGGAATTAATTCTACAGAAATAGAGGCAAATTATGACAAACTATTGACAATGACCTCAAAATGTCTTAAAAGGCGATTACATGAAATCCAAATGTTAAAAAAAAAATACTAAAAGTCCAAGGAGAAGAATATGGTGAGTGGATTCTCCGAGTGTGGCATTGTAAGTCGATTGTTCCATTCCATTTCCATTAAGGAGAAAACAAACCCTAACCTTTAGCAGTTTGGCAACAGTTTCTGTACCAGGGTCAAAACTTATGATTTTATATCAGAGGTTCTTCTTTTTCTTTTTCCTATTACTTGTGTATACCGTGCCAGCTAAGTTGATAATGTCTCTTATCCCTTTCTTTTAGCAGCCTTGGGTAAGAGATGACAGCATAGGAAACAAGACTGAAAAGCTGAATCCTACCTTCAGCAAGCAGGATCACTCTTCTGTGAAATGCAGATGTTAAAAACCCAGTTAATGGCTGATAATGACATGTCATTGAGTAGATTGTTCTTATGTTGACCATTCATGTTCCAATTTAATGCTTTATTTATTTTGCTAATGTTTGAAGACCTCATTTGTGAGAGTTGTAGGAAAACAATTCAGAATTCTTTTAAGTGAGAGTATGTGCCACTGACTCCCAGGGTCTCTATGATTTTTGTCATCTGAATTGTCACACTTCTTCAACCAGCAGAAATTGTTTCCTTATGATTTTCTGTGTTTGAATATGCTTTACCAGTTTATACTAACCTTGAAAAATTTTCTTTTTCCCATTTCAAGTTCCACCCAATCTGACTGTTCCACAGGAAAAATCACCTCTGGTCACCAGAGAAGGGGACACAATAGAACTGCAGTGTCAAGTAACTGGAAAACCTAAACCCATCATCCTCTGGTCTAGAGCGGATAAAGAAGTTGCAATGCCTGATGGCTCGATGCAAATGGAGAGTTATGACGGAACACTGAGGATTGTGAATGTATCTAGAGAAATGTCAGGAATGTACAGATGTCAGACCAGCCAGTACAATGGATTTAACGTGAAACCAAGAGAAGCTTTGGTGCAGCTCATTGTGCAGTGTAAGTAATATTTTTTTCCATGTGTTCCATTGGGGGACAAGGGAAGAAAGGATGCGATTATTCTGCTAGTAAAATCAAGTGAATTTTGGAATTGGATTAGGATAAAATGTTTCTAACCTTGTCATTAGCCAATTGAAACTGTATTTTTCCCTAAATCTTCCCCTTGCTTGAGCTAATACTCATAGAATAAACAGTATCAGTGTGTGTGTGTGTGTGTGTGTGTGTGTGTGTGTGTGTGTGTGTGATGATTATGTGTGTGATGATTATGACGGTATTACATGGTTGGTTAATGCCAAAGAATCAACAAATCTAATGTTTAAAAACTGGCCATGTGCACTGAGGCAAAGTAGAGATGGGAAATAATTGCGATTACCATACTCTCTTATTTTCACCGTTCTTGTTTCTACTTTAGGCATTTGCATGCCCTTTCCCCAAATTATCCACCTATTTCAAAGCATCCCTTTGCTTAAATTGTGGAGACCTAATCATGGAAAAGCTATGTTTCCATATCTGAAGTTGTAAGAGTAGATTACATAATTATCTAGTAATATTGAAATAATTCAAATATTAGGTACTGAATTTTTGTTTGATTTTCTTAATAGAAAATGGTTTAACCGTGAGAGTTAAATATGATCAATTATTTGTATTGAAATCACTGTTACATTTCTGACCAAAAAAAAAAATTGTAGACATTGTGTGCTTTGAATTTGCTTTTAGTATTAAAAGAACATAATTTCTAAATGTAAAAAAAAAGTTGAATGTTGTCCTTGACGTTAGGTTATTAGAGGATGCCCTGGTAATTCGGATGGGGGGTGGTACAGATAGTGCCAAAAAGAGAAGCAGCAAACTAAGCACAATCTCTTCGAACCCCAGTAGTGCTGCTCTAAGTTTGAATTGATGTTCAATTTGTTAAATACCTGATGGCAAAGTCTTTAAGAATATGAATGAATTAGATGAAAATATACACTTTGATAAGCAATGATGTTGTTTCCTTTCTATGGCTCTCTAACTCAGAAAATGGAAAATAGAATTTAATCCAAAAATGTCTCTTTTTATATTAGATTTAAGGATGTTGGCAGATTGGATTAACTGACTTTAAATTTGAAAGAATAATTGAGATACGGAAGGATTATGTTTGGAACTGATACCAAGTTCATTTGTGACTGAGTTATGTGAGTGGGGGGCGGGCAGAGAGGAACAAGATTCTGGGCACTGCTTAACCATTCCCTGTCCCCATTCTTTAGAAACTCAGATTCTAGTTTGCTATTTGTCCTATATATATGCAAACTGATAATTTGTCAAATACTTTGGCTGATTTCCAATTGATTATGAGTTTGTCTGTTTCCAAATAACACAGCTTTTAGATAGCAAGTTGTATTCAGCAGTTTAGTATTGCTTTTTCCTCACTGGTCTTTGTACCCATGGCAAGCTCATGGGTAGGAGGTTCATGTGAAAACAGGTTCCAGACAGAAAAAAGAGAAAAGAATTAAAAAAGAGAAACTTCTCCTCAATTCTAAAAATAAATAAATAAATAAATAAATAAATAAATAAATAAATAAATAAATAAAAAACTTTCCAGGGACCATAGAGGAAACTGATACAGTTTGGAATACTTTATTCTTGTTGGTAATCACAGAGTTCTGTGCTTCCTCTGGAATTAGGCACAAAGCCCTGGTGTTCATAAAGCTGTTAGGGCTACTAGTATTACTCTGCTCACACCTCTCTGGGGACGCTCTGATACAAATAAAAGTTAGGGAGCCCATTGATTCTAGGGAATTTTGAATTAAAGTTTTAAAGAACCAGGATCTCCAAACTCCATAGAATATGCAAACTTTCAGAATTCTATGAGTGTGTGAATTTTTTTTCTTTCTTTTTCCTTTTTGCTTCTTAATAAGTCCCATAGGAAACATTAAGCTCAGCACAAGATTTAAAAATTCAATCCTGTAATAGTGGATGAAGATAAATACTGGCATGGTTGTCTCTAGTGTCACAGGATGTAATCAACTAAAAGACACCGATAGACTTTAGGCAAAGTTTAGTTCATTTAATGTAAATAAAAAGATCTGCATCCCAAGGTGACTTCACAGAGCAGGAGATGTAATCTAACAGCACTTCCTCTCAGAGGCAAGCTTCCCTGGCCTATGAGGAAGCCAGCTGGGTTCCAGCAGCCTTGCCAGTTTCAGGTGAGGATGCCATTATGTCTTTCGAGAAGCTCCCTTTGATGTATTCCCAATTCTTGTGAAGAATCTGATTATGTGTCTGAGCATTTGCCAGGTACAAATAACTGGAAACAACTCCAGATTATTCCTGAGTGAATCCAATGTTGATTTTCTAGGCACATAATCCCTGCTAGCCAAGTCCAACCTGCATGCCTAACTAAGGCTTATTCCTGCAAAACTAATAATGCAGGAATTCTGATATTTTTTAAATGATAAACATTCCAACTTTTATAGTGATTTCTTAAAAGCATGAAAATAATGTGGGATTTGTGCTTAATTTGCAGTCATGCTACATGTGAGAAGTATCCATACGAATATAAAATACTAAGTTATTTCATACACGTGTGCACACGCATCTACATACATGTGCATCTGTTTATACTATCTTCAGCAATTAGTTACATCACTGCAGCTACAAACTTTGCCTTATATCTATTTTGTATTCTCAGCATAATATATTTTGCATTGTAGCTATTCATCAGCTCTGTTGAGTAAATGTAAGTTATGGTAACAAGTGGAATAAGAATATACATATTGCATACTCCTTGCTTCTTACATGACTGGTTGTTATTTATTTAGGTTTCAGGAATATCTGAGGACTTGTTGCACAGAGTGTGAGACCTGAAAGTGTTCAAGTATATGAAGAAGATGTCAAATTATTCTAACACTTATCAAATACCTTTTTCAGGACTTGAACTCTGTACTGTAGTTTATTATAATTTCCTTTCTTAAAATATTTATTAGATTGGCAAATTCTGGGACAGTCTGTTTTACACACACATGCACACATAATGCACACATATTTATATATAATTTTATGATTTGAAATGTAAAAGAATGAAAAAAAGATCTTCATAGTAAATAAACAAACAAAAAACTGGTATCTCTAAGGCACATTTTTTTCCTCGTTTAGTTTTACTGTGTCCAATTAAACAATAACCCAGCAAAAAGACTAAAGGAGCATAGAAATAATTGTATGTAGGACTTTGATGAGATTGTATGTGCCTAAATATAAATAGCATATATGTCTCCATAGTCTATAAATGATGGAATACTTTATTTAGTTTAATGTTCTAAATTGCCTAATGAGATTTATTGTTACTTAATGTTGAATTAAAATTATAAGGCAATCATTTTATTAAAACGTATTGAATTATTTACTATCACCCTGTTAATTTGCTTCTTCTTAAAAGGTATAAAGAATGATATAACAAGTGACAGAAAGCTCAAGGTATTTTACACCATTCTATGTCCTGTTAAGAGTAGCTAAGTCATCAAAATGAAGTAGAATGAAGTAGTTTAAATTATTAAGTTCTTGTGCATATTGCTCATTCCTGGAAAGCAAAAAGAATATATATATATATTTTATTATAATATTTTTAAATTCGACAATTGACAGTTATCACAAATGATATGGGCCAGGACAGGTAGTTGCAACTATAATTCTAAAAGTTTGAAAAATAGTGACTCAGTATTAATTTAAATTTTTTTAAAAATTGCTAGATGAAACTACAAAGTGCAATGTAAAGTTTTAATAACAGACCTTCAAATTTTTAGCCATTACTTAATTTCATCTCCATGTTTTTGGAACTGTAATAATTCTTTTGTTAACTTTCCATCTCATTTTTATTCAAAGCAGATTTATTCCATTACAGTGGATTGTTTGAAAATAAAATAGTTATATATGTCAATTGATCCATATCATTTAAAAATCATAGTATGTACAGAGCTTATTGAACAAAACTAGAACAATCTCCTAACAAAGTAACAGTAGTAAAATAATAAAAATTAAATAATGTTTAACTTACTCATTAGAGTACTGATCATTTGAATATTGAATATTGATCAAATAAAAATGCCATTGGATGAATATATTCAAATATATATATTAAAAGAAGAAACTAAAATAGGCCTATTGCCTTCCTAAAGGAAATTATTGTTTTTCTTTTTTTTTAAAGTACACAAGATTTATTGGTGTATTTCTTATATTGGTATTATATAAGTATACTTTATGTACTATGAAATGAATTTCATAAACTAGAACATTTTATTTTAATAAAAGCTATCCTTTAAATGGTTTCATCTCAAAGCACTGGTAATATCTTTTAGTAAAATGAGTATATTTTGAAATACATTTTCTTGAAAATTAGTTGGAGAAGATATATACTGCACTGAATGTCACTTTTATTATTAAAGCTTCATTATATATATGCACACTTGTTGTACCTACAATACAGATTAATAGGAGAAAATCAAATGTAATTTCATATATACAGGGAATCCATACAGACATGGAAAGTCCAGAGACAGTCAGGCAAAATAAGGTACCTACGTCATTCAGAATTAAGAAGTGGGTGGGGATCTGGGACTTTAAGGGGAAGGAATGCAATCACAGGACGATGAAAAAGAGTAAATGTTTGGTAAGCGAATGTTAGGTTCCTGGGAGACAATAGGACATAGAGGACTTTGATCATTTGAACAAGCCTTGCTAGGTTCTTCCCTGTCTAGCCTAGCCTAGTTTATGGCATAATGTAGTTATCTGTGGTGATAGCTCTCTTCCTGGAGCAGGTTCTCTATGTAAATTCTTTGTGGGGGAGGTAAAGAGTTTTTCCTGAATCTGCTAGGGTTTGGATTGTTTTTTAACTCAAAATAATCTTCATGCCAAAGTGGCCCATCTTGGGGTGGCCTGCCCTTGGCAGCTACAAGATCATGGACCTTATAAAGAAAAAGAAAGTTAAATACAGATCAGAAGGTACTGGGACATCTATGCTTATTATTGTT